AAACAAGAACTCGCTCTACCAATTTAACTTAAAACGACTGCATTCTTGTAGAGGCTTCTTCAACCCAGACTGAGTCACAATCTGAACTACAAATTCTACTGAAGAACAGTTTTTCGACACGGGCAGTTGACAAACTCGATACGCCTCGACAAAAGCGCGCCCCAAAAACAGGTTGGAATCTTCTGTTGCTTTGAAGACGTTGAAGTGCACAGGTTTATCAAACTGCTCTTCGTTCATTGGACAGTTCCACACGAGGGTGAGGCTCAAGCTGTACCCCTGGTCAGTTGGCTTCCATATCAAGTCGAGGCATCTAATATTTCGTACAGAAGCAAGGGGGTGTTTGAGAACTTTAGGATCAACGATCTAGTACAAAATGAAAATGTTGTGAATTATCTTCTAACATTTCAAAACTGGTTAGCTTTATATTTTATGGTCACTCTATAAGAATACCTCACAAATTAAAATTCCCCAAACTCTTTAACGCAGTGGCAATGGATATGAATTATAATAGTGCTGGTAGACCGTGTTCGAGGATGAGCTTAAAAACTATCCCCGATAAACCGTCAGAGACCCCAGGGGCAGCCAAACGACAAAGTTGTCATTACCGACAAAGTTAACAGGAAAAATGGCAGAGCCCCCCCGGCAGTCTCATTTGAAATTCTTTCTTTTAATTGGCCAGAAAATATTTCATGACCAATCAGAAGCAGGATTTCAAAGCTTCTGGAACTCTAGTCCCAAAGGTGTTCGCCTCCAGAAGGTTCAAAAAACTCATTATTTTAAACGCGATGAATATAATCAATAAGAAAAGTAATCACCTTGATTTCTCCTAAGTGAAGTTTAAATGTTCCCGTGGATTTCGCACCTAAATAAGCAACAATAAAGGATAGTAAACAAGAGACCATCTGTGTGTGCTTTCCACTAACGCCAAGAATGAATAAAAACTCATGCCAATGTTTAAATCAACGCTAAAAACAATTCAGCTCTTTACCAGGAGAAACGGTACAAAGCAGTCGAATTTCTTGCACTGTGCATCCCTCTAACTCTTTACCGGCGATTAAGTAATAACTGATGAAGCAAATAGGATAGAAAATAATTCAAGATTTACATGGGAGAGCCAGCAAAAAAAAGAACTTCCCTATGAGTTATCTTTTTCCGATAGTCCTTTATCTTTAGGACTCATCATTCCGCGCGGTCTATGCGTTTCGGGTCACGTGGTCCGAGCGATTTTCGTCTCGGATACGTCACCGAAACGAATTGACCAAGAAGGCCTGGGAAGACGCAGTTCAGGGACTAGGCACGGGGAAGCACAGGAATAAGCTCCAGCCATGTGGACCACCTCCGCCCATGTGGACGGCGATTAAGTAATGCCTGATCAAGCAAATAGGATAGAAAATAAATCAAGATTTACATGGGCAGCAAGCAAAAAAGAACTTCCCTATGGGTTACCTTTCTCCAATAAAAAAAAAACACTTGCCGCACGAGATGTGGGTTCGCGCCTTGGTCGCGCATTCTCGTTGCCATTGCGCTGTTTCCCTGCTGGACAAGAAACTTCGCTCCATATACTGTGTGTGGTCCTCCCCCAAGGGTGTACCGGCAATAGGCTTCCGGGGTAATCGTGTTATGAACTTCAGTGTAGCATCAGGTCTTGGGGAAGCATTGCCTATTCTTTTGGCCTCATTATTCCGTGCGGTCTATGCGTTTCGAGTCACGTGGTCCGAGCGATTTTCGTCTCGGATACGTCACCGAAACGAATTGACCGAGAAGGCCTGGGAAGACGCAGTTCAGGGACTAGGCAAGGGAAGGCAAGAGGGAGCACAGGAATAAGCTCTAGCCATGTGGACCGCCTTGGTTCTTGCGGTTTCATACGTGTCGCTTGCGTTTTCCAGAACTGTTTCAAGGAATTATGACTGTGATTGTGTCTTCATCCTGTACTATTAACTGCTGCACTTACCGCGTGAGCCATTCTGAGCTAGTTCCAGTTTCGTCATATTCTCTTAAACCAAACGCCTGCTGGACGACTTGATGAGGATCACCTGACAGCGGTTCAAACAATGTGTAATGCTCTGAACCAATTGGGGACGTGAACACTGATGACGTCAGTGTCCGCGACTTCGGAATGCCATAACGCCGAACCAGCTTGTTATTTAAATCAGAATCTTCCATCTGGCCGGGATCTAAAAATTGTTAAAAAGGTGCAATATTAGGACAAGATCCTGCAGACAGGTGAAAATCAAGCCACAACGACGATTTAAGATCAAAGCACACATGAGGAAAGTAAAACACTAAAATAATAGTTCCTTTTTTTCACTAGAAGTTCCTTGTCATCTACAATCACAGATAGTTGTTAGAAACAGAACATCTTATTTCGTGATGGTCCGTGATGAATCCAATTTTTCCAGCACATCAGAAGACATACATTAGTGGCAACATGGCAATCAGCACTCCAATTTTACACCAAGTCAACATGCTAAACCTCAGAACATAAAAAAATCGTTCTTTGAATCCACGCGGAATCAACGAACACTTTCATTCAACTAATTTATTTGGTTTTTCATGTTTCCGTCTTTCACCAATGGCATAGCTCCACCATTCGGTACATAACCAAAGAAAACCCCACACATTGTAACAGAGTATATGTCATTATAGACAACTCGCCCCCACCCTAGACAATTATTCCTAGACTACTCGCCCCCGTTCTTAAGACAATTAGGAACGAGTAGTCAATGGCTAATTACCTGGAAAGGGGGAGTTGTACTGATATCTTCCACATAATTTACTACAACTGGGGTAAAGAGCATCACTCGCTTAACCCAGTTAACCCCTTAAGCCCCAGTATCAACATACGACTGATAAAAGATCAAAGCATTTTTCCTTTGGTGATCATTTTATTAATTCTTGTAACTTTTTTCTGTTGATAATGTACTGATATTGCAAGGAGAAAATCGATGTTGATCACTGTTGGGACTTCAAGGGTTAACAAACATTTCGTTTTAGAGGGGTTCACTGTTTCAGGGTTTCACTAAAGTACACTGCCTTCCAGTTTAAGATCAAGTTTACAGATACCTTGTTCCTTTACTGATGGTAGTGGACAGAACAGTAGATAAGTAGGCATCTTGTTAGTGTGAAGCTGTAAAGCCACATCAATGCAGTCTTTAGGGTCCAACTTAAATGTGAAAGACACCAAAAGAGGTCCCGTAATCTGGAAATCTGTTTTGAATATTCTGGGGAAAGAAGGACGAAAAACAGTGGAATTTCAGTTTAACCAAAATGCGAGGAAAAGTAGTGGTCTGAAAGTAGTGCAAGTGTTGAAGTAGCTGCAAGTGAAAAAGGAACGTAGATAACGATAAATCTCTTTTTTAGTTCTTAATCTAACAAGTATTAATTGAATATTGTGTTTAGTAGATTTTCAATTTTATGTTCATGGTCAGTTACTCTTAGACCTACAGAAACATATGACTCGTGAACTGAGAATAATGCTAGGTTCCATTTGACATGTTTATTCCCATGGCGTTAAAATACATTGCTTTATGACGATAATTAAATAAATAATAATAATTAACAAATTATTAATTAATAAATTATCAACGACTGAAAATGACCTTTTATTTTAATTCGTTAATGTAGCATTGTATTTTTTTAAAACATAACTTTGTATTGTTGTCATGAAGCAATGTATTTTGACACCACGAGAATAAATTCTACTAATAACACGGAAAGAATAAATTAATAGAATATGTGTGGAGAGAAGAACTCAGACCAGATGGGAAAATTAACCCACGACCTTCCAGACACTAATCAGATGCTCTAACCACTGAACTAATGTGAACCCTAGTGATGAGCAGGTCATTTGTGGGCTGACATAACGACCACATCGGGCAGTCACATTATGTCAAACGAACACACAAATTAACTGCATTGCACAATCAAATAAATACTCTCTGAGCAATAAATAATAAATACGGAATGATATGTGTGGAGAGAAGAACTCAGAAAAATTTCTGAGTTCCAGATGGGACTTGAACCCAAGACATTCCAGACACAAATCAGATGGTCTAACTATAGAAAAAAAAACCTAGAATATACTGCACCTAACAACACCCTTAGACATCTCTTGATTGGAGTGAGCATGCCCAGTAATAAGAAGACAACCTCCACCATTATATGCATCATCCATGGTATACTCCACAACACTGATAGCCAGTCCTCCCTTGGCACCAAGATTGAAGAATGTGTTGATAAATGTGGGCTGGTACTGCTGTGCACTTAGATTTGTCCAAGGTTTGGAGAGTACCACCTATCGAACAAAAAGACACCAAAATGTTCATCTTATTTGTGCAATGGTAGTTTATTAAGTGTGTAGTTATCTTAAAAGCAGCACAGTGCTTTCCAAGGTCTCACAGGTGTGAGGGAAAAAGAAAGCAATGTGTAAAGTGTCCACTAACAACAATTCCTATTACTCATGAAAACAAAATTACAGCAAAGAATTCAGGGCTGTCATTGAGGTATGGGGGCTGGGGATATTTCTTGGCTGCTACATGTATGAGCAGATAAGAAAACAGACCCAACAGAACATCCTAGCTGTTTAATTCTCTGTCTGCTAATTACATATACCTACCAAAAAAACAATTTACACTGATAACTGGGTAGTACCTAGACAAAACTTACATTTCAATAATTTAAGCCAGATAGTTCAATGAACTAATTTGCTAAAACAGTGAAACCTCTATTAAGCGGACACCTTCGGGACCTTTCCAAGTGTCTCTTTAATAGAGATTTTTTAACAATAGAAATTAGTGTCCGCGTCTGCTTAATAGAGGTGTCCACTGAATAGGGGTTCGTTATGAAGGGAAATATAAGATGTTAATTTTGGGACCAGGCTAAGTGGCCACTATAATAGAGGGTGTCCACTTAAGTGGGGATTCGTTTAATAGAGGTTTCACTGTATTTAATCAACCAATGCTAATAAAAGGGAAGAAATATGAACGGCAAACTAGCTGTTAATAAAAGAAGAGGAAAACGTTTACAGTGTATGTAACTACAATAATGGGCTTATTAGTCAAATATTATTTCAATGGATCTGATTCAGAAAACAAAATACTCCAAATAAGAGGTTTTGCATTCTAAAGAAGTTTGAACTGCAAGTTTCATATTCTCAAGTATTCTTTGGATAGAATGTTCATCTAGATGAGCAATTCCATTGTTTAAGTCATTCATGGCCTAATTAACAGTGTACTCTTCCTAGATCCGGTATATCAAGTATATTGTAGGTTAATTTTTGTGTACTTAATTCATACTGGACAATATGTTTTCTGCAAATCACCTTTCCATCTATGTTGGCAGTTTTTCCACAACCACGACATGTTGATGTTACAAATGGAATCTCCTTCACTGCTGAATGCACAGTACAGTAGGGTGCCAACAGGTTCCAAAACCTTTGAAGAGAGATAACAGTTTAAGCATTAGAAAAACCTACAGTATGATCCAATCATGAAAATTGTAAGTGAAAGCTGCAACATACTTAGATACAGAAGAGAAAAAACAGAAATGTCAGGTTTGTAATAATTATTGATTAATTGACTCTGCATTATATGGAAAACAAGTTATTTACAAATTTCTTCAAACCCTGTGAAAAGTAGTAATTTTATTACATGTCAATGGCATTATTTTCTCTTTCTTTTCTCAGGCATTATTCAACAAAATATTTTGAATCTTGGACAAAATTCTTTCATCCAGAAAGATCCTCACGAAAAAATAATGTGTGGGAAAAGTCGCGATTTATGAATGTAACACATTACACAGTTAAAATAAACATGTTACAATATACAGCAGTTGATATTCAAGGCTACATAACAAATCTTTGAAAGAATTCAGACACATTAATAAAGATGCACACAATGTGAAGTCTTAAGACTCTATAATAATATCTTACTTGTCTTGATTCACAAAGAAGTTTTTAGACCCTTGTGTCTCCAAAACCCATCCTGGAGCAAACAGTGCAGAAGACAATTTTTCCTCTCTTATTACTTTAAAAGCCTAAAACAAAATGAAACACTTTCCTTGATTAAACTCATAACCAATAGATGAGCTTGGGCGTTGGTGCCTACAAAGTTGGTGGAGCCAGGCAATGCTCTAGCATGAGGAGGAGGTATCCATGGCAACCCTGCGAGCGGCCCCCACCAGGCACCTTCACACTGAACTATTCAGTGGAATACTTACCGACCAATACTTACCTAGCCTATACCTCAAGAGGGAGGGAGGGATGGGAAAAACCAAAGCACAAACTGGCACGCAAACAGCAAGCTATTGCAACAACACTTTGCGAAGAACTGCAAGCAAGCAACTGCATATATAAGTCATGAGGTGCCCCTGCTAGAGGCATCGGGCCACCCCTAGTATAGCTGGGGAAACTGCTGACCAGCATTGCTTCGAGGTTAACTTTGCCTAAATTACATTTAGCCACATTTTGACCCTATCTAAGAACAACTACATGAAGCTAAAATGGAATTTTGGACAGGGCTAATCCCTCAAAACAGTCAGTGGTGTCCTAATTTTAGGACTCATTAGAATGGGTTATTCTTATAAAAAAAAAGATTTTTACTAGTATTAGGTGTGATATTAATTTTTTAAAACACAAATGTTTCACAGTAAGGCAGTGAAATAAGTAACTAGAATGGGACTTTTCTTAAACAAGGAATCATATTTTTAAAGCCAAAATCTGAACAGGGTTGAGTGCTTTACTAATAACTACCTGGGCAGCACATACCTGCTCAGAGATGTATGTTCAGTTTTGAACAATATTAGCAGAGTTTCTGTAAAAGCAAGTCATTTTATTTACAGAGACCATTACACACAACTTCTGCTCTAGATACTTTTAAGTATCCAAAAGTCAAAATCTTTGAAGGATCAACAGTGATCAATATATCTAAACACATCTCAAGCCTTGAAATAGTATTACTGAAACATATCACACTTGTTACGTACCAGTTTAGAATTGTAGCCACCCCCTCCAAAGCAGCCACGCCCAAAAACATCCACTCCAACATAGACGTCTGTCAGGCGATTATGCCCAGCAGCACCTGCAGATCTCATCAAGTGTGCTTCAGACCAGTTGTAGTTTAAAAATATACCATCACTTGCATCAAAAAAGATTCTGCCAAACAAATGAAAACCGGGAGAGTGTTATAATCCAAAAAATGTTTTAGCACTAAAATTTATCAGCCTCATATTAAAGAAACAATACGTTTCAGTGATCAGTGATTCTCAGGAAGCTTGTTAATGCCTGAAAATTTTAGGATCTATTGACAAGGCTGTCACTAAGCACCAGGGGCCAGGGAATTCCCCCGGGGTATTATAGGCATATCCCTGGCTACTTTCATTAGAAAACTGGAAAATAGAGGAAACCAAAAAACTTCCTAGCTGTTCAGTTACATGGCAACTTGAAATTTCAGTGACAGCCCCGCAATGAGATGAATAACAGAGTCAACATTCTCTTAAAAGTACATATTAAATGGCATCAACAATACCCGGATCAGACTGGATTTAATCAACCCCTGAAACTCACTAAATGACAAAAGGTAAGGGATAGGGTCACTAGGAGTGATCTGATCCGGTCCGATCCACATTTTGCCAACAGCCCACATTACATGTAAATTCCTGACAGATCTGATTCAATAGGGCCATTTATACAAGGAAAAATAAGACGCGAACTTTCCGTATAAACGGCACATTTCGTCTAAAATAAGACGAGGCTTAGCTAAGACGCATCTTATTAGATAAGACATGCTCGTATAAATGGTACAGTTCGCGTCTTATTTAAGACACGTCTTATGTAAGACGCATCTTATTTTTCCTCGTATAAATGGCCCTATTATGTACCTGTTCTTAGCATTGAGTTCATTTTGCCAGGCTAGGTCTCCTTTGTATGTTACACTGTCATACCAAATTACCAAGGAATTAGGAATCCGCTGATGCATCTCCGCAGTTAAATATTTTACAAACTCTTCTAGATTGTTGATTTGCACTGGCTATAAATAAAAGCACCCAACAATAATGTATTTTATAAATAACAAAGATGGAATACATGTACATGCCTGGAGGTTAACTTTGGCCAGAGTTTTGAGGTTCAGGTCCCATTTTTTTCCATTGTGTTTATATGGAATATTTAAATTGCATTAATTCATGACCAAACTTTATAAATGGAATTTAGACAAAAATACATTATACTAAACCCAGGTGCAGCTCCGTGACTACACTTGAAAAAATTTAAAAAATCAACTGGAGCATCTCTGGCCAATTAACTTTAACTTGTTTATCACTAATTTTATCCCTAAAAAGCCCCATGAATGCAGTGAATGTACAAGTAAAAAATTTAATCATATTATGCTTACCCTCTTAGCAGGTAGCTATGATTATGCTTTTGGGTTGTGCAAGATAGATTTTATATTACTTCATATTTAGTTTTCTTCTTTTTTTGTTGGCTTCTTTTTAGAGTTTTAATGAACACCCATCCAGATATTATTTAGCTATACATGAAAGCTAGCAGGAGGTGGAGTCAGGTTTACATCAACTGTTTTTCAGTACCTGTATGGGATTTTCTATGTTAAGAAGCCAACCATCAAATCTGTAATACTCTGCTATATCAACCAGCTGATTTGCAAGACTCTTCCATGAAGCCATGTCCTCTAAAAATTTGCTGCATCTTATAACTCCATCCTCAGACTCTGTAATTACAGTGCCCAACACTGGAACACCATGGGTGTGTGCAGCATTGGTCCAACACGGAGGAGGTATGGTAACAAAATGATGACTAAAGTATACAAAAATGTCAATAAGCTGCCAGTGGTATATTATGTATGAGTCGCCCGGTGCAGTACTGGCGCCTTGAACAAACCTATAAGAAAAGTATGACTTTGTTAGAACTCTTTAATTCAAGATTATTCCCTTGCGAAAATCTGGTATTTTATGTGGCTAAATTGTAATTTAGACAAGGTTAACCTTGAGACAACACTAGCGGGCCAGCGGTTGAACCCCAGGCAGCTAACCTTCTGTGGAGTGGCCACCGGGTCTGCAGGGGCTTAGACTACGAGCAGTATCTCTTTTTTCTTGGTCCGTCGAGCAAAAGGCCCGAGACACGCAAATGACCACGAGCGTGACTGAAGGTGCGAGACGGGAGAGGCACGACTAAAGAGAGACTGCCCCCAAAGCCAGAGAGAATGGTCTTTCACGGTCTAGTGATTTTCTGGCAAGAAAACTCGCACATGCGTGCACTCCCCTTACTAAATCTGAAGAAAAAGAGAGGCTGCTCGCAGTCTAGCAGGGGCTTACATGTGATTACATTTCTTAGCTCTGCTTTGCTTTGCTTTGCTGATCTTTGCACATCATTGCAATTCACAACCTGTGATATCTGCTGGTTTTTGCTTGCTTCTGTCATTTGTTTCAAGTTTCTCTTCATTTGATTTAGCACTTGTATTCATTGGATTATATCAGTCATGTCTCGACTATGGCTTCATCAGCTGGATCCTCAACTGGCTTGTCTGCTACCTGAAAAATGATGTCAATTCCTCCGTCGCTGGTTCGGCAGATAGTGGATGCGGTGAAGGCTTCTCTAGCAGCAGAAACAGCAGCGGATCAACCTTCATAGCACTGTCTTCTGTACCATCTGTTTGGGGCGTTCCCAAAGACCTTTAGTTCTCATTCTGCAATGTATCTGGTACACAGTCCTTCGAGGTTCCTTTGTTTGTGAACACTTTTGTTCAATTTTGCACCCATCCAGTGCTACTACTATTGTGGACCTTGTCACTTTCTACATCAGCATTCGGCGCTAGTTCCACCTTCATTGTGCCTTTGGAACTGCTGAGTATGAACACAGTTACTACCCCTCTTCCAGTTTTGCATCAACCTTTTGTTGTGGGCCCTGGCTTTTCCCCAGGTCCCACAAAAATCGTGAGCCAGATCATCTCTGGGAAATTCGTCGAGTTGAGCAACAGAGCCATAGCTGTTCTTAGATGGCCAAATGGTCCTGACTAGCACTCCCAAGGGATCCCACAAAAAAATTGATGATATGTCACTTGGATGGAGGTTTTCTCACCTCGTACTTCCCCTAAAGCTGGAAAGATCTGTCACAATATAAGCTTCTAATCCTGCTGACTTACCAGCAGTTTGGTGGTCACTTGTGGCTAAATTATGATCAGCATTTCGAGAACAAGCAGCAGCATCCTGGGTCACCAACTGGTTGGCCATGAAGGTGCAACTGCATAATTTCCACGCTGCAGGAGTCGCGGCTCATTGATATCCGGGGAAGTCCGCCAACCTGCCATAATTTCCACCTTTAATGCAGACGCTCCCAAGCTCATCTTGTCGATGAGTTTAACTGAAACTGCTCCTAATGTACCACCCCTTTCAATATCATCATCATCATCATTATCATCAGGGTGTGTTTCGCCAAGTGGCTAAGCTGTCCAGGTCACAGAAACACACAAGTCTCCCCACCATAACAAATTAAGATAGCCTCAAAAATATTATGCATTTATTATTTGGCTGAATCTGTGAGCAGGCAAGATAAAGTGTATCCTGTGTTCTGATCGGCTACCCAAGTGTATAGGGATGGGTAAATTACACTTACCTGTAGCCTTAAATACAGGTAGTGTAGGCTGGCTCTTACCATGGAGTGATGGGTAGGCTAGCTACTTAATGTCGCAATAATGTCATTACCATATGGGGGAAAAAATCATCCTCTTAAATATTCTACAGTGGAATTCCCACCCCCAACAGGAAGGTACGTATTCTCTGCCCAGCACAAATGAAGTAATAGACACCTTACAATACCTCATTTCCAGTGGGTGGGTATGGGTAGACTGCCTCTTACAAGGGAGAAATGGGTACACTGGCTACTGAATGTCATAATCACATAATCATGATTCTCATTCAAATAAAAAAATGGCATACTTCTTCCCCTAACCATACCATCTTAAGATCCCTTATATAAATGTATCACTTGTGTTTGGAGACATCACAGGGTCTGGACGAGTACTTTCAGGATCCAGGATTTGAAGAAAATACCGTGCGGTATTCAGGAAAACACAAGATATCTTAACAGGGAAATGGGATTTTGAAGATACCCGGGAATCAGGATTCACCAAAATTTAAGCACGGGATGTGCAATTTTTTGGCCTGTATGTTGGGAATTCAGGAAATCATGTGTTTGAGCAGCAAGTGCGAATCAACCAGACAGGTGTTAGGTGGTGTCTCCTTTCAAACCAGAAGTCGATCACCTGTTCCAACCAAACTATAGAGTGTACCTTGTTAACTAGATTTTTATTGTATTGTTTTTGAAAACAAAAAAGAAATTCCGTAAGTGTGGAAAAAGTGCAGCATGCAGGATTTTTGTCAAAAAGGAGCATCCACGAGGATCGGGGCCTCCCTTCCAGGCCCTGACATCACTCACAGAGATGCAGTGATTTTGTTTCCTCTGCGTCCTGCATCCCCAACGCATAAAAATCCCCAAAGACACAAAATAATTCACGACATGCATCCAGTAGGATGCAAAGATCGATCGATCGATTTGAAGATTTTTTGGTAAGATATCCTGTTCGTGTGATTTCTGTGGCAGTTGTTTTTAAAGATGCATATTTGTTTTAGTCTTTTTGTGATTTAAACAAGCTTTTAGAAGGACTTTACCATATTTCCGCAAATGATAGCCTGGGATGATTATTTCTTTTTTCAGACCAAAAGGGAGAAATTATTTGAGGGAGGTGATAATTTCAAATGGTAGTGCCCTAAATATTTTGTTTTATCATCCCATTAAACCAAAAAAATTATCACCTAAAATAAACTAAGTTTGCCAGTTTGGTTCTTTGATTAGTTTCAGAGCTTGAATCATCACTGATCAGTTTTGGTGGATCAGATTCCACTTCAACTTGACAAGGAGGAGATAAAAAGAAGTGAGGATAGCAAGAGGGGTGGAGGGGGGCGATTCTTCGAGGAGGCGATTATTTTTAATACTTCCATCAGAGGGAGGCAATTATTTGAGGGAGGCGATTAATCGAGGGAAGGCTATTATTTGAGGAAATACGGTACTCTAATTTCAGTAAAATGTAATAAAGAGTTTTGGCATCTTTCTCCAGATTAACTATCTGGTTACATACCCTGTAAAGGCCCAAGCATTTTCAATTTTGGACTTATTGTTTTTTGAACTGGGACTCAATGGTTCTATTTTTCACAAGATATAAAGTCCCAGGACTCAGGGTAACTATTTGTAACAAAATCACTGGAGATGCCCAACTAGAGTGATTGACAGGGAGATGTTGTGTTCTTACTGTCTTCACTTCTAGGTTCTCTGAGTCCCCAGATACCTGAGCTCTTTTAAAGGGTGATATCTTAAGTTATAGTTACCAACCTGTCCTCAAGATAACCTCCTTTCATGTCATGGCACACAAGTGTCCGAGGTCTCTTCTCCAACTTTCTGCTCTTTTCAGTTAACAGAACTGAGGCCACGTTGAAGAAGTCGAAACCTTGTCTCCACGACAAAACTTCATCCAAAGATTTAAGCGGTCGTGTTATGGGTGCGCTTGTTTCAGGATCAAAAGGACTATTTTCGGTTTCAAGTGCAGAACTACCCACTTTCCTCGGTCCTTCGATCAACTTCGTATATCGCACAGAAGGTTCAGGAGCTTCAATATCTTGTCCAGCATCAACAGTTTTCTTCTGTCTTTCTTTCTGAATATTTCTTTCCTCCAAAACACTGTCATTTGTCCTAACGTGAGCTGGAATGTCTGAACCAGAGTCGATTGTAGACATTGTACTCGTGGACAAAACTTCCTCTCTGCCTGCGAAAAACTTCAGCCTTGCCTCCTTCATATTTTCGGAGGTCTGGCGGCTCGAAATTCTCTGATTATCACTCTCTCTGGGTTTCAAATATTTCCAGAGAGCAAATAATCCGAATAAAACCGCTAGAACTGTCCAAAAGAGAAGGAGCATTGAATCGTCCGCCATGTTTACAATCATAGGTTCCAGGCTTAGCCTGCGTGGCAAGGGCAAAAAGGGGCAGGGGTGGGGAAGGGAGAGCGATACAAATGTCACAGGTGTACTGTTTCAGTTATGTCCTATCTCATCGCACTAGAGAGACGTTTCAACGGCGGGTAGTAAGCAAGTAGTTAGAAGTAGTCTGTTCACAGCTCTTCCAGTAGTCCGTCTTCTGTAGTCCGTCGAGCAAAACGCGAGACACGCAAATGGCCACGCGCGTGACTGATGGCGCGAGACGGGAGAGGCACGAAGCTGCCGCCCTCGTTTCGCGCGTCTCGCGGCTTCGCCGCTTCCGCGCGCGTGCATTGCTCTCACTAAAACTGAAGAAAAAAAGAGACTGCTCGCGGTCTACAGCTCTTCTATCTTCTATCAGAGCTCAAGCGCGCGAACAAAAATACAAATCACAGGGGATTCCTTGCCCCTCGAACTCGCTCACCTACTGTGACTTCGCTTGCGTCCCCTTCAAATTCCTACGCACTTCTGGGAACAGACCGTACCTAAAAAAATTCCCCTTTAGATACCCCGGTACCGGTTATATACACTGGGAGCGCAGGAAACATAAGCAATCAAATGAAGCCATTCAACATTTTTAGTCGTCACAACTACTTTTTTCGGGCGTCGGTTTTGTTGTTGTTGTATTTTGATTTGCGGCTCCTGCTGTAGCCTAATTCGTCATGGCAAAAATCAAAAGACCTTCTTCTCTTACACGAATAAATAGCGGTTAAACGCTATTTCTTAATTTTAAAAAACTTAGTATTAAGCGCCGCTCTTGTTCCCGGGTAGGGATGGGGGAAGCGAGGAGGGAGAAGCGGGGAAAGCAAGTGAACCTAACTTGGGGTATGGGGTTGGTATGAAAGACAAAAAGAATATCTTAAACACCCATCTTTATAAGACCGTGCAGAACAACTATTTTAATATCCTGTTAAGAACAAAGTACAACTTACCTGCTCTGTTGTTTTCACTACGCTGGAAAACAAGAGCCTGTACAGAGCGTTTTCACTTTCGTGGCCAGCATCTATATGAGGTTTTACGTAAGAAAAGAGTTTTAACTCCAACGGGATTGGTTTGGAACACCAATAAGGCCGCTGTGACGTCATGTGAATGCGCCCTATAGGACAAGCTCGTAGAAAACTATATACCCTGTTCCAGGTTAAAGACGTTAAGAGCCATATACTCTCTGGAGGCATAGCCTGGGTAGAGGCCGTATCAGTTTCAAGTATACCCCTAACCGGGTCAGTACTCTAATGGAAAAAGATAAAGGGTTGTTGCAGCTATAGACGGAGAACTCTGAAAATTTTCAGTAATTCAATATGGTATTCTTTCGATAGTGACAACAACTGAAAACCGTTCTAAAAACCGGGTAACTAGTTTCTCGTTATTGTTGCAGTAATAGTTACTCACACCAGGGCCAGGTTTTCAGTGATTTATTAACACTGAGGCCCAACAGGGGTGGATCCGAGGTATCTTTGTTCGGGGGGGGGGAGAGTCAAACTTGTGACCCAGCTATAAAAGCTAAAAATTTCCATCTTTCCAGGCCATTACACATTGGTTACTATTACGTAGGCCCATGCCGTGATGATACGCCCAGTTCATGTGACATTCTACTCGTACTGAAACAACATAAAAGTCGTGAAACGCCACGAGATGAAAGTTGCAAGTAGCACTTCAGAGTTTATTTCGAGGATTATTTTACTTTCATAAAAGTTAGCTAGGACTTTTAAAAAATCATTCGGACCGATATATTTAGCGGGGTCCAGACCCCTCCACGACTCTCCTCCAAGTTTCTTATGTAGTCCAATGCAGCTTTGAAAGACTATATGAAACGCTGGAGTTTAGAGAGTTTATTATGATCATGTCTGTTACTTAACATTATACGATTTTTGAAAAGTCTAGATGATAATATTACACACTGTTTAATGAATACGTTGTATAACGTTCGAGTTGTACTCTACAAATCAACTTGAATATGTCTTGCCGCTGGATTTCAAATGCTGTGTTTTTTCATCGGCACTAATTTCAAACAGGAGTCAGTTCTTGTTATGTGTTCCCCCTTGGATGTTAAGCTACTTCCTGCGGAGGGTGGGCGGGGGGTATAGACGTCATAGCTTCTATTTTGGGCCCGGAACACCTGACTAGTCATGGGAACACTGAGTTTTCTGAACCGCGCCATGTTTGAATTCAATGAGGTATGCGATCGATGCTCTTCTGAGCATTTTCTTGTCATATTTGGTACACTTGCTGATGGGCGCAAACCCTGCAAGTTGCAGTGAGAACATGAAAAACATATCCCGGATGTGCGCGAGCGAACTCGAAAAGGTTTTGAAGTTTGCATTTTCGTTTTATTATCATCTGTTGAACTTTCTGCCGGACTCCGTTGTTCTAATTCAGTCGAGTCATTCTTCGTACCGATTTTGTCTAAACGTCCAAGTTGCGCATTCCTTGACTTATCCACTGGAATTTCACTTGTTAAGAACTCCCGGATTCTTCTTCGAGTCTCTTCAGTCTGATTAACTTCCAAACTTTTTCGTCTCATTCTGATTTGAACTTTCATCACATCTCTCACCTCATCAGTTTTCCAAATAACATCTATCTTTTCTTCTGGCTTGGTGTTTAACTTTCTCGAGACTTTCTCCTGAACTTTTTCAAGCCAATTGTTCGTTTTCGCCTTTTCTCTGTAAAAGCTTCGCAGTGTTCCATTCGACTGTTGAGAGAGTCCTTTGCTCATTCTTGCAAGCAATAATGTTTCTCGGTTATTTCTTACNTTGCTGATGGGCGCAAACCCTGCAAGTTGCAGTGAGAACATGAAAAACATATCCCGGATGTGCGCGAGCGAACTCGAAAAGGTTTTGAAGTTTGCATTTTCGTTTTATTATCATCTGTTGAACTTTCTGCCGGACTCCGTTGTTCTAATTCAGTCGAGTCATTCTTCGTACCGATTTTGTCTAAACGTCCAAGTTGCGCATTCCTTGACTTATCCACTGGAATTTCACTTGTTAAGAACTCCCGGATTCTTCTTCGAGTCTCTTCAGTCTGATTAACTTCCAAACTTTTTCGTCTCATTCTGATTTGAACTTTCATCACATCTCTCACCTCATCAGTTTTCCAAATAACATCTATCTTTTCTTCTGGCTTGGTGTTTAACTTTCTCGAGACTTTCTCCTGAACTTTTTCAAGCCAATTGTTCGTTTTCGCCTTTTCTCTGTAAAAGCTTCGCAGTGTTCCATTCGACTGTTGAGAGAGTCCTTTGCTCATTCTTGCAAGCAATAATGTTTCTCGGTTATTTCTTACTTTAGCTATATGTTCTGCAGATGTAGGAACATACTTTGCCCTGGAATAACAATTTCTTTTGTCCATGTTTCAGTCGAATTAACAGTAAAATGAAGAACTCTATGATGCTGTGCGTCCTGGCGTCGTGGACCTTCAAAACAAACGAAGGTTGAGTCTTAGTAAAAGTTTAAACGCGTGCTTAATGACGCATCTGTAGCGAAAAGCTATAAACAGCACACTAATTAGTATGGCAACTATCTATTCTAAGGTCTTTTAGCTGTTTCTAAAGGGGGCGGCCTATATAAGTAAATTGTCAGGTGAAGCCTTCAGTATAATAAGCGTTGCAAACTAGTTCGGATGGCTGGAAAATCAAACTTTTACAGTGCTAAAAGAGGTTTTCACAATAGCTCAAATCACCAACTCTTGCATGATTGCCGGGAGACGTTTAGGAGTCAACGGGCTTGCAGATTTGAATCTGTACGGATGACAAACGTTTGCATACTTAATTAGGCCATTTTTTGCGTTTGAGAGTCATTTCAGTACAGAAATGTTCTGTATTAGACCCAACTTTTGAGTCACTTGATGAATTCCTATGACCTGGTGATCACTGAAATGCAATATTTTTTTCCAGGGCGTTTACATGACGACATCTGTGGCTCAATATTTTAGAAAAAACATTTTCCTGACGTTAGACTGCCTGACTTAAGACAAGTAAAAGCGTTGCCGGATTTCAGAAAACGACATTGTGTGTTTCACCTTATCTCACTTCCGACGCACATGCACCTCAGTTTCTGCAACACTGAACTAAACGCCTTACCCAAGGTTAGCTTTACAGACCTTGTAGTCATTTCCTGTTCCTTTAATAAAAGTGCAGACTTTGTTGTGACTAGGTGTACTGATTAATAATACCACTTTCGAAACCTTGTCTCCACGACAAAACTTCATCCAAAGATTTAAGCGGTCGTGTTATGGGTGCGCTTGTTTCAGGATCAAAAGGACTATTTTCGGTTTCAAGTGCAGAACTACCCACTTTCCTCGGTCCTTCAATCAACTTCGTATATCGCACAGAAGGTTCAGGAGCTTCAATATCTTGTCCAGCATCAACAGTTTTCTTCTGTCTTTCTTTCTGAATATTTCTTTCCTCCAAAACGCTGTCATTTGTCCTAACGTGAGCTGGAGTGTCCGAACTAGAGTCGTTTGTAGACATTGTACTCCTGGATAAAACTTCCTCTCTGTCTGTGAAAAATTTCAGCCTTGCCTCCTTCATATTTTCGGAGGTCTGGCGGCTCGAAATTCTCTGATTATTACTCTCTCTAGGTTTCAAATATTTCCAGAGAGCAAACAATCCGAATAAAACCGCTAGAACTGTCCAAAAGAGAAGGAGCAGTGAATCGTCCGCCATGTTTAGGTTCCAGGCTCTTCAAAAGTGCCACGTCTTTTCGTAAAAATTCTACCCAGGCCGTACCCTGGTCCAGGAGGTTTTTCTTGATTTTTCTTCGCGAAAGAGATCAAGAGCAATCCGCGAAGCGGCGAAAAAGAGTCGCGAAATCGACGAGGAGAGATACTCGTTGGCGAACGCCGTCGGGTAGCTTGAGTATCAGGCCTTCCTTCAGCTCTTTCCCTTTTTCGCTTCCATCTCTCCCCTTTTCCCAAAAAAACGCCTGATACTCAGGCTAGCCGTCGGGCGAAACGCCCTGCAATTCCACAGCTCACAGGTGTACCGTTGCAGTTATGTCCTATCTCATCGCACTAGAGAGACGTCTCAACGGTGGGTAAGCAAGTCAGCGAGTAGTTGGAAGTACAGAGTCTGTTCACAGTTCCTCTATCTTCTATCAGACCTCAAGCGCGCGAACAAAAATACAGATCGTGGGGGATTCCTTGCCCTTCGCTCTCGCTCGCCTACTGTGACTTCGCTTGCGCCCCCTTCAAATTCCTACGCACCTCTGGGAACAGACCGTCTAAAAAATTCCCCTTTAGATACCCCGGTGCCGGTTACATACACTGGGAGCGCAGGAAACATAAGCAATCAAATTAAGCCATTCAACTTTTTTAGTCGTCAAAACTATTATTTTCCGGGCGTCTGTTTTGTTGTTGTTGTATTTTGATTTGCGGCTCCTGCTGTAGCCTAATTCGTCATGGCAAAAATCAAAAGGCCTTCCTCTCTAACGCGAATAAATGGCGGTTAAACGCTATTTCTTTATTTCAAAATGGATAGCAATTTCTTTTGTTATGCGGCAACGGTGCCGTTTTCCCACATGGGAATGTTCTCAATTTTACACGGAGAGTGCATAAACCTACATGAAGGCCGTTTACGCAATAAAATGCATTCACACTCCACTTTGAAAGGGTGTTTTTTTGTGTTAAAAGATTTTGACCATTCACAAGAGTTGAAAACAATAGCCAAGAAAAGTTTACAATTTTACATGTTCCCCACATAGGATTTCTTTGTTATTCAAACTGAGACCAGATTTTGTTATATNCAGGTGTACCGTTGCAGTTATGTCCTATCTCATCGCACTAGAGAGACGTCTCAACGGTGGGTAAGCAAGTCAGCGAGTAGTTGGAAGTACAGAGTCTGTTCACAGTTCCTCTATCTTCTATCAGACCTCAAGCGCGCGAACAAAAATACAGATCGTGGGGGATTCCTTGCCCTTCGCTCTCGCTCGCCTACTGTGACTTCGCTTGCGCCCCCTTCAAATTCCTACGCACCTCTGGGAACAGACCGTCTAAAAAATTCCCCTTTAGATACCCCGGTGCCGGTTACATACACTGGGAGCGCAGGAAACATAAGCAATCAAATTAAGCCATTCAACTTTTTTAGTCGTCAAAACTATTATTTTCCGGGCGTCTGTTTTGTTGTTGTTGTATTTTGATTTGCGGCTCCTGCTGTAGCCTAATTCGTCATGGCAAAAATCAAAAGGCCTTCCTCTCTAACGCGAATAAATGGCGGTTAAACGCTATTTCTTTATTTCAAAATGGATAGCAATTTCTTTTGTTATGCGGCAACGGTGCCGTTTTCCCACATGGGAATGTTCTCAATTTTACACGGAGAGTGCATAAACCTACATGAAGGCCGTTTACGCAATAAAATGCATTCACACTCCACTTTGAAAGGGTGTTTTTTTGTGTTAAAAGATTTTGACCATTCACAAGAGTTGAAAACAATAGCCAAGAAAAGTTTACAATTTTACATGTTCCCCACATAGGATTTCTTTGTTATTCAAACTGAGACCAGATTTTGTTATATGGAAGTTGGTTGGAAAGTAAGGATGAATATATGTTCCGCTTTATGAAGTTTTGTTAACTTTTGCTGTTTAAGCCAATCAGAAGTAAGTGCAGACAATAGAAAAGTTAGCACCTTTTTTGCATTCCAACATGTGCGTTGCCGTTGTTGCTATCGTTCTTATCTGGACCGTTTCTTAACCACCGCTCTTGTTCCCGGGTGGGGATGGGGGAAGCGAGGAGGGAGAAGCAGGGGAAGCTAGTGAACCTAACTTGGGGTGTGGGGTTGGTTTGAAAGACAAAAATGAGATCTTAAACACCCATCTTTATAAGACCGTGAAGAACAACTATTTTAATATCTTGTTAAGAACTAAGTACAACTTACGTGCTCTGCTGTTTTCACTACGATGAAAACTAAGAGCCTGTATAGAGCGTTTTCACTTTCGTGGCCAGCATCTATACGAGCTTTTACATAAGAAAAGAGTTTTAACTCCAACAGGATTGGTTTGGAACACCAAGATGGCCGCTGTGACGTTATGTGAATGCGCCCTATAGGACAAGCTCGTAGAAAACTATATACCCTGTTCCAGGTTAAAGACGTTAAGAGCCATATACTCTCTGGAGGCATAGCCTGGGTAGAGGCCGTATCAGTTACAAGTATACCCCTAACCGGGTCAGTACTCTAATGGAAAAAGATAAACGGTTGTTAAAGCTATAGACGGAGAACTCCAGAAAAATTTTTAGTGATTCAATATGGCATTCTTTCGACAGTGACAATAACTGAAAATCGTTCTAAAAACCGGGTTACTAGTTTCTCATTATTCGTGTGGTAATAGTTACCCGGCCACGGGGCCAGGTTTTTCAGTGATTTATTAATAGTGAGACCCAACAGGGGTGGATCCGAGGTATCTTTGTTGGGGGAGGGGGGTCAAACTTATGCCCCCGCTAAAGCTAATAATTTCCATCTTTCCACACCATTACACATTGGTTTCTATTACGTAACTAGGCCCATGCCGTCATCAGTACGCCCAGTTCATGTGACATTCTACTCTCGTACTGAAATAATCGTCCTTTGTCTTAAGTGATAAAATTTAATAAAACGGATCACATCCCATATTAGCTGAAAGGCAACATAAAAGTCATGAAACGCATGTTTATTTTTAAGCTACGAGATGAAAGTTGTAAGTTACACTTCAGAGGTTATTTTGTGGGTTATTTTAATTTCATGAAAGTTAGCTAAGACTTTTAAAAAATCATTCGGACCGATATATTTAGCGGGGTCCAGATCCCTCCGCTACTTTCCCCCAAGTTTCTTATGTAGTCCAGTGCAGCTTTGAAAGACTATATGAAACGTTGGAGTTTAGAGAGCTTATTATGATCATGTCTGTTACTTACCATTATACGAGTTTTGAAAAGTCTAGATGATAATATTACACACTGTTTAATGAATACGTTCAGTATAACGTTCAAGTTGTACTCTACAAATCAACTTGAATATGTCTTGCCGCTGGATTTCAAATGCTGTGTTTTTTCATCGGCACTAATTTCAAACAGGAGCCAGTTCTTGTTGTGTGTTCCCCCTTGGACGTTAGAGTACTCCCTGCGGAGGGTGGGCAGGGGGTATAGACGTCATAGCTTCTATTTTGGGCCCGGAACAGCTGACTAGTCATGGGAACACTGAGTTTTCTGAACCGTGCCATGTTCGAATTCAATGAGGTAAGCGATCGATGCTCTTCTGAGCATTTTCTTGTCATATTTGGTACACTTGCTGATGGGCGCAAACCCTGCAAGTGACAGTGAGAACATGAAAAACATATCCCGGATGTGCGCGAGCGAACACGAAAAAGTTTTGAAGTTTGCATTTTCGTTTTCTTCTCATCTGTTGAACTTTCTCCCGTACTCCGTTGTTCTAATTCAGTCCAGTCATTCTTCGCACCGATTTTGTCTAAACGTCCCAGTTGCGCATTCCTTGACTTATCCCCCGGAATTTCACATGTTAAGAACTCCCGGATTCTTCTTCGAGTCTCTTCAGTCTGATTAACTTCCAAACTTTTTCGTCTCATTCTGATTTGCACTCTCATCACATCTCTCACCTCATCAGTTTTCCAAATAACATCTATCTTCTCTTCTGGCTTGGTGTTTAACTTTCCCGAGACTTTTTCCTGAACTTTTTCAAGCCAATTGTTCGTTTTCGCCTTTTCTCTGTAAAAGCTTCGCAGTGTTCCATTCGACTGTTGAGAGAGTCCTTTGCTCATTCTTGCAAGCAATAATGTTTCTCGGTTATTTCTTACTTTAGCTATATGTTCTGCCGATGTAGAAACATACGTTGCCCTGGAATAACAATTTCTTTTGTCCATGTTTCAGTCGAATCAAGAATAAAATGAAGAACTCTAAGATGCTGTGCGTCCTGGCGTCGTGGACCTTCAAAGCAAACGAAGGTTGAGTCTTAGTAAAAGTTTAAACGCGTGCTTAATGACGCATCTGTAGCGAAAAGCTATAAACAACACACTAATTAGTATGGAAACTATCTATTCTAAGGTCTTTTAGCTGTTTCTAAAGGGGGCCAGCCTTTATAAGTTAATTGTTAGGTGAAACCTTCAGTATAATAATCGCTGCAAACTAGTTGGATGGCCGGAAAATCAAACTTTTCAAGTAATGCTAAAAGAGGTTTTCACAATAGCTCAAATCACCAACTCTTGCATGATTGCCGGGAGACGTTTAGGAGTCAACGGGCTTGCAGATTTGAATCTGTACGGATGACAAACGTTTGCATACTTCAGTTAAGCCATTTTTTTGCGTTTGAGAGTCATTTCAGTACAGAAATGTTCTGTATTAGACCCAACTTTTGAGTCACTTGATGAAATCCTATGACCTGGTGATCACTGAAATGGAATATTTTCTTCCAGGGCGTTCACATGACGACATTTGTGGCTCAATATTTTAGAATATGAAATTTAACATTTTTCTGACTTTAGACAGCCTGACTTAAGACAAGTAAAAGCGTTGCCGGATTTCAGAAAACGACATTGTGTGTTTCACCTTATCTCACTTCCGACGCACACCTCAGTTTCTGCAACACTGAACTAAACGCCTTACCCAAGGTTAGCTTTACAGACCTTGTAGTCATTTCCTGTTCCTTTAATAAAAGTGCAGACTTTGTTGTGACTAGGTGTACTGATTAATAATACCACTGGAGGCCAAAACCACGCACTTGTGATTATCAAACCAAGTGAAACAACCGCAACGAATCAAAACAAACTGAGGGATGTTCCTGTACAATGGCCCTGACCTCCTTTTTTAGGCTTAATTACAAGAGATAACAATATCGCTTAACACTAATCGCTTAATTGTGAGGGACAAATGTTTCCCAAAAGGTCAATTTCATGAGCTGTTCTATAACAGATCTTGGATGATAGTCTCGCGCGAGTGGTCGCATATCTAAGTTCTTCGGGGCAGCTTTGGTCCTGAAAGAAATTCTGAAGGCCTCAAAAGTTTATAACTGATGACGCACTAATTCCAACAACAGCTTATTAAGCAGTTGTTTTCTAACAAGGTTTTCATTTTGTAACTCTAAAACTTGATTACGGCTCCATTTCAATGAATTCGACCCATGAGGTGTAACACGGTACAATTTAAACAAAAGCAGAATCAGGCAAAACGTCCCTTTATAAAAGCCAGTACACCAAAATGGACTGACCATCCAAGTTTAAGTCACCGAGGAGAAATTTTGCCTATTGCGGTTTATTTTGTAATGGCGGGAATTAAGGAAATCAGACTACAATGTTAACTGACTAAACATTGTGTAGTGATTTTTATTGCGTAATTAGAAATTTTCAAAATCAGGTGATACACAAGCCCACTTCGGCGTTTGTCTTTTATATTCCTTCATGACTTATTTTGAGGGGGTATAAAAAAAAAACAACCGCAAGCTTGTACATCAGCTGATTTATATTGATTTAGAGATGTTTGTCGGTCATAATCAAGACGCCCTAAAAGGGAAGATAATAGTTCCCTTTAGAAGGGTTTGTTGAGAGCTGACTGCTGAACTGTTCTTATTGGAGCAATTGCAAATGATATCGATAAACGATTTATTTATTGGCTCCTTTGATATAGCTGCCATATATAATCTTTATTTAGTTCACACAGAAGAAAGAACTCGAAGAACTGAAATAAATTTAATTAACCTCTGTTGTAAACAATCATAATTGCTGAAAATTATGTACATTTTAGCAATACTTAAACCTAACTCCCTGGTGAGACTATTGACGTCATAAGATCTTTTCAGGGTCAAATGTTATGAGAACATGCGGGAACTTGGTGGCCAAACGAGCTGAGTTCCAGGTGCCACTTGGTACTTAAAACGACTATCCGGTCTGTTCTGATGAAGCCCTTGATGATTCTTTTACCACCGTGATCAGCACTTTAGTTATTCAATGAGCTCTATCTCCTTCCTTTTTGCCCATTCCTTCGCCACGCACTGTCCACTTTTATTTCAGAGTCACCATTCCATGAGACACGCAAGTGTTCACCATTGAATATTGTAACCAAGTATTAACTAACCGAAAATTGGGGCCTGAAAACATTGCGAAAGCTTTGCTTAATTATAATTTGTTGGCCAAAAATGTGTTTACCGTGTGGCACGCACGCGAAATTTTTGGCTGAGTCATTAATTTTGCGGATCAGCGACTTTTTTGTATTCACCGAAAAATAATTTTCGTGATAGTGCAAGATTGGTTTCCCTTTCTGGATATATTTTTGCAAATTTGAGAAATTCGTCTTCAATTGGTATTTTTGAAAGGTTTAAACGACCCTTAGGTGAGTCTCCCTAAATTTCGATAAGTCTTTAAGGCCGCCAATTAAAGTATTTTTATAGTCAAATTCTCCTGTATCTGCCACTCCCCAGTCCCCAGCACTGATAACTTCAGCTCATATAAACTGACCGCATCTTTAAATCAGTTACATCTGACATTCGTCGAATCTTTAAATCAGTTACATCTGACATCCGCCGAATCATTGGAAGGCTCAGCTTTCGGGAGTCTTTCTTACTTGATTCGCATCTGTCATTTAATCGAAGTTCGTCGGACCATTTTCGTTCGATCTTTGGTCCGTACACCGAAGGTAAATTCTGACAGTGAAAGTGTTGACAAGAAATGCATATGCTCGTTGCCCTAGAGCGAATTTTAAAAGGTCTCTTCGCAGATGGAACGTTTGTTTCTTTCTTGGTCTCAGTTTCGAGCTTATCGACACCAGTTCCTTCTTTCGAACTTCCCTTACTTTCTTCATTTTCAACAAACCCTTTTTTCAACTCTGCAGGTATCTTCTTTTCAAGTTTATCTTCACTGTTTCGCTCATTCAACACCCAGGCTACCCTAAACTCATTTCTACTCTTCTGCAGTTGTTTAATTGTACCATTTTTAAGTTTATTCCCACCACTTATTTCTTTCGATGACTCCATTTTGCCATTATTTAGCTTGAAAAATGGGCCTCCTCCCACCTCATGGACTTGTTCTCGAGATTTTTCTTCCTGGTCGTTGTCTAAACTGGGCAGTCTCAATCGTTGGAGTTTCTTTTCATTTTTCACTACTTCTTTTTCAGCCAGAACATTGCCATTTTCATCCCATTTAGGTTGCAAAATACGGGATTTTTTTCTGTGTTCATGTACCTCTTGAAGAAAGCTATTAGCCCTGGCTTTCTCTCTGTAAAAGGCTTTCACTGCCCAATCGGACTCGCTTGTCAGACCTTGGTTTTTTCTCATAAGTGACAGTGTTTCGCGCTTGTTTTGGGCGATCGCGATTCTCGCCGCTGATGTAATTGCACTCCACTTTCCGTATGAGTTACTTCTTCGTACCATCCTTTAACACATACAAAACACTAACTCCAGGACGTTAACGTTTAAAATCGCAAATTGATTACCTTTTTGAAGGTCTTTACTTCAGAATGCATGTGCAACTCCACTGTTAGTACCTTGACGGCAAAGATGGACTGGCCAACTATGACGAGACTGCAGGTGCACGAGCGGTTGAACAAATTTCTTAGTTCTGTGTAAAAGCTTTCAAAGCTATAAAAAGAAACCGTTTTAATCATAGGGCTAAATGAGCAGCACGCTGAGAAAGAACACGGGGCCGTTTATTGAAAGCGATTTAATTGTTTTTACCCGGTCACAAAAGAAAAGCGTGTTGCTTTCTCTGTGCTCTACTTGTGATTTTGGTCAAATAAACTAAACCGAACTTTCCAGACGGACCGTAGTGTATAGAGTTCCTCAGTTTCTGCAACACTGAACTAAACGCCTTACCCAAGGTTAGCTTTACAGACCTTGTAGTCATTTCCTGTTCCTTTAATAAAAGTGCAGACTTTGTTGTGACTAGGTGTACTGATTAATAATACCACTCGAGGCCAAAACCACGCACTTGTTATTATCAAACCAAGTGAAACAACCGCAACGAATCAAAACAAACTGAGGGATGTTCCTGTACAATGGCCCTGACCTTCTTTTTGAGGCTTAATTACAAGAGATAACAATATCGCTTAACACTAATCGCTTAATTGTGAGGGACAAATGTTTCCCAAAAGGCCAATTTCATGAGTTGTTCTATAACAGATCTTGGATGATAGTCTCGCGCGAGTGGTCGCATATCTAAGTTCTTCGGGGCGGCTTTGGTCCTGAAAGAAATTCTGAAGGCCTCAAAAGTTTATAACTGGTGACGGACTAATTCCAACAACAGCTTATTAAGCAGTTGCTTTCTAACAAGGTTTTCATTTTGTAACTCTAAAACTTGATTACGGCTCCATTTCAATGAATTCGACCCATGAGGTGTAACACGGTACAATTTAAACAAAAGAAGAATTAGGCAAAACGTCCCTTTATAAAAGCTAACAAAATAGACTAACCATCCAAGTCTAAGTCACCGAGCAGAAATTTTGTCCATTGCTGTTTATTTTGTAATGACGGGAATTAAGGAAATTAGACTACATATTAACTGACTAAACATTGTGTAGTGATTCTTATTGCGCAATTAGAAATTTTCAAAATCAGCTGATACACAAGCCCACTGGCGTTTGTCTTTTATACTTCTTCATGACTTATTTTGAGGGGGTATAAGAAAAAACAACCGCCAGCTTGTACATCAGCTGATTTATATTGATTTAGAAATGTTTGTCGGTTATTATCAAGATGGTTTAGAAAGAGAAGATAATAGCTTCCCCTTATAGCGCAGAAGGGTTTGTTGAGAGTCGCTGACTGCTAAACTGTTCGTATTGGAGCAACTGCAAATGATATCGATAAACGATTTATTTATTGGCTCCTTGGTATAGCTGCCACATATAACCTTTATTTAGTTCACACAGAAGAAAGAACTCGAAGAACTGAAATAAATTTAATTAACCTCTGTTGTAAACAATCATAATTGCTGAAAATTCTGCACATTTTAGCGATACTTAAACCTAACTCCCTGGTGAGACTATTGACGTCATAAAATCTTTTCAGGGTCAAATGTTATGAGAACATGCCGGAACTTGGTGGCCAAACGAGCAGAGTTCCAGGTGCCACTTGGTACTAAAAACGACTATCCTGTCTCTTCTGATGAAGCCCTTGATGATTCTTTTACCACCGCGATCAGCACTTTAGTTATTCAATGAGCTCTATCTCCTTCCTTTTTGCCCATTCCTTCACCACGCACTGTCCACTTTTATTTCAGAGTCACCATTCCATGAGACACGCAAGTGTTCACCATTGAATATTGTAACCAAGTGTTAACTAACCGAAAATTGGGGCCTGAAAACATTGCGAAAGCTTTGCTTAATTATAATTTGTCGGCCAAAAATGTGTTTACCGTGTGGCACGCACGCGAAATTTTTTGGTGAGTCATTAATTTTGCGGATCAGCGACTTTTTTGTATTCACCGAAAACTAATTTTCGTGATAGTGCAAGATTAGTTTCCCTTTCTGGAGATATATTTTTGCAAATTTGAGAAATTCGTCTTCAACTGGTATTTTTGAAAGGTTTAAACGACCCTTGGGTGAGTCTCCCATTTTTTATAGTCAAGTTCTCCTGTATCTGCCACTCCCCAGGATTGATAACTTCAACTCATATAAACTGACCGCATCTTTAAATCAGTTACATCTGACATTCGTCGAATCTTTAAATCAGTTACATCTGACATCCGCCGAATCATTGGAAGGCTCAGCTTTCGGGAGTCTTTCCTACTTGATTCGCATCTGTCATTTAATCGAAGTTCGTCGGACCATTTTCGTTCGATCTTTGGTCCGTACACCGAAAGCAAATTCTGGCAGTGAAAGTGTTGACAAGAAATGCATACGCTCGTTGCCCTAGAGCGAATTTTAAAAGGTCTCTTGGCAAAGGGAACGTTTGTTTCTTTCTTGGTCTCAAGGCTGCTTTTTTCGAGCTTATCGACACCAGTTCCTTCTTTCGAACTTCCCTTATTTTCTTCATTTTCAACAAACCCTTTTTTCAACTCTGCAGGTATCTTCTTTTCAAGTTTATCTTCACTGTTTCGCTCATTTAACATCCAGGCTTCCCTAAATTCATTTCTACTCTTCTGCAGTTGTTTAATTGTACCATTTTCAAGTTTATTCCCACCAATTAATTCTTTTGATGACTCCATTTTGCCATTATTTAGCTTGAATAATGGACCTCTTCCCAACTCATGGACTTGTTCTCGAGATTTTTCTTCCTGGTCGTTGTCTAAACTGGGCAGTCTCAATCCTTGGAGTTTCTTTTCATTTTTCGCTGTTTCTTTTTCATCCAGAACATTGCCATTTTCATCCCATTTAGGTTGCAAAATACGGGATTTTTTTCTGTGTTCATGTACCTCTTGAAGAAAGCTATTAGCCCTGGCTTTCTCTCTGTAAAAGGCTTTCACTGCACAATCGGACTCGCTTATCAGACCTTGGTTTTTTCTCATAAGTGACATTGTTTCGCGCTTGTTTTGGGCGATCGCGATTCTCGCCGCTGATGTAATTGCACTCCACTTTCCGTATGAGTTACTTCTTCGTACCATCCTTTAACACATACAAAACACTAACTCCAGGACGTTAACGTTTAAAATCGCAAATTGATTACCTTTTTGAAGGTCTTTACTTCAGAATGCATGTGCAACTCCACTGTTAGTACCTTGACGGCAAAGATGGACTGGCCAACTATGACGAGACTGCAGGTGCACGAGCGGTTGAACAAATTTCTTAGTTCTGTGTAAAAGCTTTCAAAGCTATAAAAAGAAACCGTTTTAATCATAGGGCTAAATGAGCAGCACGCTGAGAAAGAACACGGGGCCGTTTATTGAAAGCGATTTAATTGTTTTTACCCGGTCACAAAAGAAAAGCGTGTTGCTTTCTCTGTGCTCTACTTGTGATTTTGGTCAAATAAACTAAACCGAACTTTCCAGACGGACCGTAGTGTATAGAGTGCAATTGTTATAAAGCCCAACAGATTTCTATATAATATGATTGTGCTAGCGCTTTTGACCGTGTACTGACAGTGAATGTACAACATTCCTATCATGCATTTTGAAGCAAACTTACCAATAGAAACGTCCCATTTATTGATTTACTTAAAAAATGTGGACCAAAGGAGAAAAGATTGTGCACAGTCAGGGAGCTCTAAAATATTATACTGCAGCATCATTGTCTTAATATTTGATTTTTGCCCCCGATTATTTTCCACTACTTCATTAACAAAGGCACATTTATTAGAAGGTCAGCTATGTCAGCAAAAAACGGGAAAGCAAGAAAATTATGAAAAAGCGACATCTAAAAGCGTCCACTAGCAACAGAGGATATATATCTCTTCGAGTTTTTTACATTAATGCATAAATGATCATTTAGGACTCTTCATTCCAACCGCATACCTTAAACCGACACAGCACGAAATAAACCAAGGAAACAGTACAGCTGATGTAATAATGCTTCAGTTAAGAAAGCATAAGGTAAATGTATTATATTATTAATAATAATAATAGTAATAATAATAATAATAATAATAATTAAGGTAATCCGAGCACCACTGTGTTTAAAAATACCTTCTTTTACTTCTTAGCCTTCAAAAATTTCTTTAACGGACGCTAAACTAAAACCTGATGTACCGGTCAGATTTGAAGGGAACTATCAAGGGCGAACGTACAAGACAAAGGTGACGGATCCTGTAGGTGACTGATCTAGTCAGCAAGTTTTTATGGAACAACCAAAATGACAAGCAAGGCTGACTAAGCAGCTTGGAGAATGCCAAATGTTGTTTTGTAATACTTTGTGGGGTAGTATGGAGTCCATTCTCTGAGTTGTTCAGTCATCCTTGTTTCTCAGTTATCTATTTAACTATTTCGCCGCTCTTGAAAAAGCTATTCTCACGCTTTTGGTCCAGTTTTAGTTCAATTTGTTGATCCTACTTCTTCTTTGATTTGTCGGGAATTGCGGGATATTCCGGAGACTTTGACGTCATTTCTACCATCACTTCTGTGCAACACGCTGACTTTACATATGTTACCAGAATAAAGCAAGCTGAGTACCTATTAGCCAGGCTAATTCCGTTAAAGTAGAATATTTAAACGCGTTATTCCTAAAAAAATGGCCTAAATTTTGTCAGCCAGAAGGCGACTACTCAGTATTGATTTCAGTATAAACGCGAAATGGTCCACATCCAAGACACAGCAGAAAAGAGCAAGACTATTGAGGGCCTAAATTCGTAGCCATCGATCCGTGAAGGCCTAATGTTGTCAAAAATAGTTCGGATACATCTCAATTAAAAAATATTTTAATCTAACAGCTTTAAAGGGGATATAACTACAGCAGTCCAGAGCAATGCTTAAATAAATCTAAAATAATAAATAAAAATAACAAAATTTTTATCTATTGTAATAGATAAATAAATAAAATGTATATATAGTTTGAAGAGGTTAAGAGCGAAGGGAACACAAAAGTCCGTGCGGGACATATTAGAGACACCACCCTGTCATTTAAAACTATTATGATCAGTATAATATGGTCAAACTACAGCTAGTTAAGTCTAAGACCTATGACTAAAACTTTCGTCACTCGATCAGTTCTTCCTCTAAAACTTAACGACGGAATTTGTGGCAAAGCAGTTGGGTGAGACATCCTAACTGCAGGTAACCTGAGGTCAGGCCCAATTTTAGCGGTTCTCATACATTCTCTCTTACGGCTTGCCCGCCGGAATGTTATTACAAAGCGAAACGAAAATTGAGCCTGATCTCAGATTAAACTGCAGGATCTTTCAAACAACTCTCTTGTTGTTCTTCAATTTCTTGCCTCACACCTCTTCAATATCATTTCTTTTATCGTTCAATTTCGTTTTTACCTCTATTTCCCAGGTAGAAAACTCGCTCCCCAGTCTCTGGTTTTCGCTGTTTAGTTCAGAAATTCTAATTTCTCCTTCGTTCTTGCTCAGCAGATTAAGGTCTTCTGAAACAAGACTTTGATCTCTCCTCATTGTCAATGAAGATAACAAGAAAGAACAAGATCATGTCACGCAGTTCTTTTCTTTTCCCTACTGGCAATGTTCTCAACGTCAGGGTCAACATTGCCTAGAGAATAATAATAATAATAATAATAATAATAATAATAATAATAATAATGATAATAATAACGCGAATATTTATACAGGATAACCTGTCAGTTCTAATAAAAAGAACTGTTATCAAAAGGGTCCTGTAGCTAACTTTTCATTCAAAATATTTCTCCGTTTCAGTCTGATTGGCTAAAAAATCCCCCAGTTAATTCTTCACAACAAGCACGCGTTGACCAAAATTAGAAGACCCTTTCAGTCAGTGTTTTGAATTATTTTAAATGAATAATAAAATATTATTGAAATCGGCTTTCATAAGATCTGAAGAATTGTGTAAGTATCGATCGAAGGGTGTTATATCCTTGTAGGCTAAACATCCTTTACGATCTACCAAATTCTTTAATTTAATAATAATTAATTTAATTTATTATTCGTCATCTTTAAATTGGCTTCGCACACTTCTTGTGTTTAGCAAACAAAAAAGAAGTTTACGTGACAATTTCTTAACCAAAATGTTCTATTTCCTTTTTGAGTTCTTAAACTCTTCTTCCAAGTATTTCTGCTATTAAACTAAAGTAGAAATGCTTGACAGGAAACCTGCAGAGAAACTTAAAATCCCTTCTGCTCTCATCTTCTCCTTGAAAATTTCCCAACCTCGTTCCCAGGGTTCTCTCCTACCCGCCCTACGGAGGGTGGGTAGAAGAGAACCCTGGGAACGAGAAAAATTTTCCAAAAAAAAAATTTTTTTTTCCAAAAATTTTCTTGAGCTCCATTTCGTTCCATTCCGAAACCTTTCATTTTCAACCCAGAAATTTCTCCATTTCGTTCGAGAGTTGTCTTATATCTGATGCTTGTTTTCCTCTTCATTTGTTCCTCACTGGATTTCTTATTTTTTGTCAAAGATTCTCAAGGGATCCGGCCTTGACCAACTTTTTCCATAACCAAACTTTTAAGTATATTTTTTTCCGTCTAATTGGTTCCAGTACTCCTCGTTCCTACTTATTAACTCCTGCTACGGTCCGAATACCTGTTTACTGACTGATCAGCGCGGATAATCTGCCCGCTTCACAGCAGCACCAAAACGTGGAACAGAACCTATTCTATATGTGACGCTTAACTTTTGAAATCGGCGCGGCTCGGCTTTGATCTGTTACAAAAATCGAGCAAAATCTGGGCCTGCTTCAGTTAATACCAAACTAACAGTAGCAATATAAAACCCAGAGTGACGGGGATGCTATTCGCGGTCTCGCGTCAACCTCATCCTTAAGGTTTTGTAACACTAAGGTTTTGTATCACTTTGTTCAAAGCTGGGTTAAGATAACCCAGGGTTAGTGCGAAATTTGAATTCAGATTTGACAGTTTAAAAAGAAGATTCAGTTTAATTCTTTTTGTCAAGATGTTGATGATTGGATACTCTTAAAAATAACAGAGAAAATTACCCGAGAAAATGTTTTTGAGCATAAGAAAAAGAAACCCGGGTTAAATTTAACCCTGGGTTAAGCGCTAATCGGTCTTCGAACAACTGGGCCCAAAGGTAGAAATTACAGGTTTTTGCGATGAGCCTCCCCCGTCTCTTTTATGCTATATGAGTCTCTCCGTGGGAAATAGAAGCAAAACTTTTGCAAAAAAAAAACTATAGAACGAAGAGTTGCCTGCGGAACTCGGAACTCGGAAAATGTGTACATGATAACAAGTAAATTATATCGGAAACCTTTTCCGTATATTTTCGTGTAAAGAATATCATTGGTTGTAGTATGGTTTTTTCTTGATTTTCAGGTGCTGATTGTCGCGCCGAACAGAGTGCCAATCTTTTTGAAATGTAATATTTCCAAGGTTTGTTAGAAGTGACCAATTCAAGTAAAGGGGATATTAAAATATTCAATTTTGTTGAGGACTTTATGATAACGAATCCGAATCTGGAAAAAATAAGGATTACTTTCGTTCGAAAAAAAAGCAGCAGGAATTTTACTTATATGTCTCGGGTCATTTGAGGTATCTGTAAGATAGATAGGCAAAAGCTGCGCAAACAGGCCACAGAACCGACAACAAAAAGAACGTCTTGCACAGTTGAATTTATTTACATTTTATCTTCGGAAGTGATGAATAGTGTTTGTTCTTTCCTTCAAATCTCTACAAAAAAGCTTTGAAATGATTACTTTCTCAATCTTTGAATTCTCAAGGACGAGTACACAAAAAACTTTCATTAAAAGGAAAAACCAATCACAGCGGATCGGCTTCAGTAAGCCGACCGTTTTCTAATGAAGTCCCTTTTGATTCTTTGTTTATAATGAACGCAAATAATAATTATTATCTCCTATCAGGCGAACTCCGGAGCAAAGGCAATAAATTAAAGGAAAATATAGATTGTGTTATCAGTTGAATTATTAAACGCGTTCTATAATCCAGCTTAAAAGTTTTCAACATGATGTATTTAACTTCTCCATAGCCCCTGTGGCGACTCTTCAGGAGTCACTGACGATTTCCTGTGTTTTAATTTGCGCCTACTGTTTCTACTGAATATAACAATAGAGAAATGGATTGTAATTTATTTTATTTTAATCCTGCCAAATGCGCCGTATTATTTCCGAGATGCTACTTTGATCAACTATGCCATCCAGTAAGATTACAGGAGCTTTATCAATATGACACGACAGAGTATAATGACCTATTCATCCAATTCACTAGTAGCCAATTCTGATTCAAAGTGATGTGTCAAATAAAAGAAGTTTACTCTTTTGTGTATAGTCTCTGCAGAAGAGGTTAGCGACGCAAATGTCAATTTGAATCTCAGCTGTAAGAGCTACATAAGACAGCTTGCCTTGAGGCTATAACCAGACATAAAAAAGGCGGCTTCAAACTTCATGATTCAGCCAAAAAAGACGGATCCGAAAACTTGCTAATATCATCATGTAAAAAGCGAATTCGATCAGTGGTCGAACTTGAATGCTAAGAAACTCTACTGTCCTCTAGGATCCCTAATCCAAGAGTCTGGTGAATCAAAAAGGATTAATGAACAGTATACTAAAAGCCAATGTCTTCTCCGTCATACATTGTAAAAGCCTTATTAACCAGACTTATATTTGCCAGTCACATTATGGTGTCTGTTTGGTGGGTCGTTCAAGTGACCCTCAGGAAGGATATGTGGTATCTTGGCTTTTTTGATGCTCTACTCTTCCTAGAAACGCTATTTTCCTTGTTCTTCAGAAGAGGACAAGAGTACAAATGGTAGGTTAAACCCTTTTTAAAGATGTTCTTTCTAAAAAAAGAAATACCTTAATTGAGAGTATCTATTGTCAGCATGTAAAATTAACGGTCACTCGCAGTAATTTCATGATAAGTGCGGTAGCCACAAGGCATACGAAACAGAGCTGTAGCAATAAAGCTGATGTATAGCCTCAGAAGGCTGGAACTACATCTCCAAAAAAAGAAGTATTCGAACCATTTCAAACAAAAATTTAAATTTAGAGTTAAATATAATATGACATTTCATAGTGCGAACTGATTATTTTGGTAATGAGGACCGATTCAAACAAAGTATTGTTCAATGTCTTTGGGATATTCTGTTAAGTTTCATTTGTGTATTCGGAGATGATGCGGTGGATTTTTTTCTTTTTTGCTCAGTATGACTAACTCCAGTGCAAACCAATTAGTATTACAAGCAAAGTTCGCCTTGCTCTAAAACTCAGCATTAAAAGACCCTAAGTAACAGCATTATCTATTCAAGGAAAGGAAAATATGTACAATTAAAAAAAAACCCAAAACGCATCAAAAGTCCTTTAGATATGGAAAATCTGAAGTGTAGTGTTTTCATGATTGTTGTTTCGTGCGCTGTGTAGTCAGCTTTGCTGCTACCCATCAGTGCATCAGTTCAATGAAGGACTCCGCAGAATATTAACATCCTCTGGGACACCATTACTTAATCATTAAAAGCGAGGTACAATACAATTGCTTTCCAAAAAACGCTTACATCGGCGAAGATCTCAATTATAGAACTGGAGATATATTTCTCAATTCCCGGTCTTTGAAAAACTTATATTCCAACTACAGCGGAAAATGATATTTGATGTTTAAATAATCAACAAAAAACCGCCTACCCTTTCTTAATATAAAAGTGACAACGAAAGCTGTGATTTTCTGGAGCGCGTTCATTATTTTAAGTTCCTGTAAATGTCATCAGGAATATATCATTCCCATAAGTGCAAATTTTATGCTGGTGGTATTCTATTAATTTTTGAAAGAATACCTGGAAATAAAATCCCATATAGTATTGTAGCATTTGTCAAGTAATTTTTCTTTCTAAACAATCGAATGAAATTTTTGTCTTAGAACCATTTTCCAAATGAATTGTTTAAAACAGGTCTCCGGGAAAATCTCTTCCTAAATTGTTTCAGTGCTGATTGACTTGTATTGTTTAAAATTACAAGAAAAACAAGGAAAAAACAAAAACATGCACGCAAGCAAAATAGAACAAAATCGAACTTTCTTGAGACAAAAACATTAGACTTGAGATATACGTCAGTTATGTTGTGTTCGCTACTTACCCGATAGTGCACCAGATGAAATTGTCTTTTCTCATAGCTGAAGGTAGCCGAGACAACAAAAAACTAGCTGAACTGGTTTCTAATTTTCATTATATTTTATAACGACGGATATTACAATGTAATTGCAATGATTTTGGCGTCGTAAAGAAGTTTAAAAACAGGGTTTCGATCAGCGATAATTTGCAAGAAAGACATTTTGCAACTTTTGTCAGTGCACTATGTGAGACTGGGTAACATGAAAAATAGACCTTGTCACGGTTTTCGACGCCATCTTGACGAGTAGGCAAACGCGTGAGAAATTACAGTGTTTGTATGAGAATCTAATGCCGAATAATTTCCGTAGAACGGCTGTTCTAAAAAAAATATGATTTGTAAACTAAAGCTTCACTCCTAAGGATTCTCCTGAAAAAATTTGAGGGCGTTACATGCACTAGAAGACCCAGAACCACTTTTTAAAATTTTCTATACATTTGTCTGTAAGAAAGTCCCGGGAAAATTACAGACAAATATATGGAAAATTTAAAGCAAGCCTCTGGAGAAATTTAAGCACAGGTACACCCCCCAAATTTTTTAGGACAATCCTTTGCTTTGTAGCTTTAGTTTACAACTGATATTTTTTTCAGAACAGCCGTTTTACGGAAATTATTCGACATTAGATTCTCATACAAACACTGTAATTTCTCACGCGTTTGCCTACTCGTCAAGATGGCGTCGAAAACCGTGACAAGGTCTATTAAA